TGTTTGGACTCTCCTTCTCATCGATATTGTTCATCGAACCGCCACCTCCACCACCGCCTCCGCCGACGCTTATGTTCATCGATTTGGTTGCATTTACTGTTCCGTTCCCATTGCCAGTGGGCAGTTTGCCATTTAGCGACTGCACACCGTTCACTTTGCGCTGTGTTAACCCCGGCTCGGCGGCCTCTTTAACCGGCTTTCCATTGGCTACGGCGTTCGCATCGTCATCGTTTTTATCTACACGATTTTTATTTCTACGCCGAAACCAAAAGACGCCGAGTATAAATGCTACACCGGGCAGTGACAGATAGAGTAGAGGACGACCGGATACCATTTTCGCTGAATATTGGAGAATCTGCAAGTTGCAAAAAATAAATAAACAGAGAGTATCTATTAAAAATCTGTGATAGGCATAGAATATTTAAAATTATGCAATTAATATCTCTACGGAGGCTAGCGTACCGATGCAAAACGTTTAAGAATGCTGCTCAAAGCAAAATCGAAAAGTAAATGCTCTCTGCCAAATGTGTAGGCTTACGAGAGAGTGAGTGCAAATACATATAAAAACCAGGCGAGAGAGAAACTGGACCTTCGGCGAAGGGAATCGAGGGAGGCGCTCTCGGAGGAAAGCAGCTCGAAACGTTTAAGAACGGGGCACACAAAAGAATAGAAATAAATGTTCTCACAAAAGGGTAAACAAAAAATAACACCCCATATTACAATGACAAGCACACATGTGTTTTATGGATATATAGAATGTACATATTGGTTAAATAAACCAATTAAAGTTTCAAGGGAAATATTAGATATTAGATTATTAAACATTGGGAGTTGGCAAATACATATGTATGTAACCTATGCATATATTTATATTTGCCTACTAGAAATACTGCAGAAAGTCTGTTTGTTTGGGTCGCGACCATCACGAGACTCATTTGGCATCCACATTTGTGTATGTGTGTGCGTGTGTGCGTGTGTGTGTGTGTGTGTGTGTGCGACTGCGTATTTATAGCAACAAATACATAATTATAGAAAATCATTCGAACGACGGCGACGCGCAGAGCAAATAAGGTGCAAAGCAGAAACAGAATGCCACGCGGAAGCCAGTGAGCATGCGAGCGAGAGCGAGAGAACGAGAGAGAGAGAGAGAGAGAGCGAGCGCAGATCGTGCTAGCCAGTGTGTGAGAGAGCGAGAGCGAGCATTCGTCTAATTTGCGCGTGCGCCAAGTGTCAAGTGTGAGGAAAATGCCGCAACAACAACAAGAACAAACGCAATCAACTTTCGGCAAGGGAAGAACAAGAACAAAAGCAAAAAAATAAAAAAAAAAAAAAAAACAGCAACAAGCATTACGCTTACGGCAATTGTTATGAAATCATTACAAAACGAACGTTGCTAATTTAATGAAAATAAATAAAAGCGTCCGTCAAAAGTTAAGCAATAACAAATTGAAACTGAAAGAAAGCCAAAAAAGCAAACCCGAATTCACCTTTAAGATTGCTACACACTGTGCACAGTGGTTGTGGAATTTTCCAAAGGAAATTGGAAAATGGAAAAAAATAAAACAAACAAAATCACACAAAAATTAATTCTTCGTTATTCTCGTTTAATATATATTAATTATTATTTGTTTTTAAGTTTTTTGTTCGCAGTTTGAAGTTTTATTGATGGATTCTGGGGCTTAATTCGTTGAGCTGTAGTAAACTGTATTAACTTAATATTATAGATTTAAGATTCGTTGAATTGACGCGGCAAAAATATAGAACGCCGGGCCAAGCGATTCGAGCGCAATTCGAGCTTGTTTTCTATGCGTATCTCCGCCGTGCGATGATAACGCCTCGATATACAAAGGGAAACTACCCAGCAGCGCTTTGAATGTTTTTTCTTCTTTATTTAAATATTTTTTTTTTATTGTTGCTCTGTGGATTTGCCCATCCCCCTGAACCACCGCGCGCATAGACAGCGTGAGTGAACGGATCGTGTGTGAGTTTCTTCGTTTTTCTATTTATTATTTCTAGTGGCTCTTTCTGAGACATTTGCCATTTGTCGATTGCTGCCAATGCAACCGAACGAACGCCCAAGCCAAACCTAACCAACCAACCACACACACAACCACCCACCCACCCAGCCAGAGGCGCAAACGCAATGTCAACAGCCTCAAACAAAAATTGATTCAAAATTTAACAGACAGACAGACAGCAGAGAGAGAGAGAGCGAGAGAGCCCTTCGACCAAGCGTTTCAATGAGCCTCTCTCTCTTTCTCGCGCTCTGTATATTTTTGTTTTAGGCAAACCTGTTGCCCTGCTTCATACATATGTATGTAAGTGATTGTTGATTTGTGGTATGTGTGGCTTTTTGTGTTTGTGCTTGTTGTTGTTGTTGTTGTTTATGGCTAGACCCAGAAGACACGCACACAAATACATTTGTACGTTGTTCAGTTTGTTTCGTCACCGTTGATAAGCCCTAATCACAAAGGTCATCCACTCAGGGCCTAGGCGATACGAGATCATTTCTCACAGCTGTGAGAGCTGTCCATCAAGAAGCTATCGGTGTCACATTTAACAGCGACATGACAGTCACTTTCATTACAATGCAATACGGCACACAGTGTTGCCACATCCACGAAATTACCAAAATGACAGTTGCAGTACAATATTAACGTTTCCAACACTTATGCCACTTATTTAGCACCAATTCCGTTAAAGCCCTGAAACGTTTATCATCTGTATGAATATGTGTGTGGCCCATGCAAACAAACATGTTTGACGTTCGCCGCTTGACTTTGAACTTGCAATAGGTGGGTGCCGTACACGTTACGACCGGCCAGTCTGTCGTCGGGCAGGCAACGTTCAAGCAAAATTTCCATAACATCAAATATATATATGTATGCGTGTATTTATGTATGCACAAAACTATTTTATTTTTTTTTTTGGTAGTCGTTAAACCAGCCTTAGCTGAAATCCAAGGCCTACGAATTTGTATTTAACTCGTTATCAAAAATACACACACACACTGTTTCAAAGGGCGCCAGCGTGCGTGAGCGAGAGAGACAGAGAATTTGTCTGTCTATTAATACACGCGCACGCACACACAGTAGAAAACAACAACAAACGGCAAACCAGGTGCAATACACATTTAACCGATCTGCCTTACTTTGCCTAAGAGTTGCTGCCCCCCCACCCTCCACACCAATGACACAACACATTCGCTATAATCTTGGCAACGTGGTTGGCGATCATATGCTCTGCGACAAAGGCGGCGAAGGCATTTTTTTTTTTTTTTTAGTGTATTGTATAATCGTGAAAATGTGTGATATTTTGATTTCGTTTGTCTTGTTTCGCCCCCCCCTCGCCGCTCTGGCAACACTGACAGCATTTGTGTTGGGGCGTGTGAGGCGCTCGCTCTTGTTTCTAGCTTATCAGGAGCATAATAAAACGTTTGATTGAATGGCATAGTGAAAGCCGTCAAACAACAAACCAAAATAAAACGCACACAATTTCAAATTGAACAAAATTCTATAGAAAGCGTAACAAAATCATTTCATCTAAAATGACTCAGCCACAAACAGAATTTAACATACATACGTACATATATATATATATATATATACACCACAAATGTCATAAACATAGACATAAATGTATAAATATGTATATGTGCATGCGGCAAGCAGAAAGCTAAAAGTTTGCATTGTGTAATCGCATAAAGAAAACCATAAAAAGAAATAAGGTCCAAGACGTTTAGCACATTGATCCTGCGACTACGACTGCACATACACATACACACACATTTATATATATATATGTTGACAGGCGGTATAAATTTTACGCCGCATGTGTTAGCTAGCGACAGCAAAAACAACAACAAGGTGTTGCCACCTATTGATTATGTTGCGCATTTTTTGCACTCACACACACACACACAGATAGAATTGTCAAAAAAAATAAAAAAAAAAAAAAACAAGGATCAAAGTAATGGCAGAAATACGTTGTTTTGTTTTAATTATTACGCATCACTTTACAACAAAATTACGTTTGCATGGCACATGCAAGCAATATGACACCATTTTTCTTGCTTCACGTACGCTGTGCGCCCTGCGAGTGTTTTGGCAAATGTTTTGTAGTAGGTTATGTTCCGCGTGGTCAAAATTGCGCTTACCTTTTAAAACCAGCGGGGTAATTAATATGTTTTGAATTGCTTTTGAATAAGCTAAGGTGAACTATATTGTTTTTATTATTTTCACTTTTTTATTTGACTTAGATCGACACAAATTTTGAGTGTATTAAAGCAGCACAAATTAAACACGTGTCTACGTCTACCTTTTACATATCATAACATGGCCGGCGTATGCAGTGTTGCCATCATTGTGCACACGAGCCGATAAACACAAAAAAAAAAAATAACAAAACACCTTCGATCAGTTATGTACTATTTTTTCAAGTGTATTATTTTAACAAACAAATCACTTTAGTACAATATACCATATGGTATTCTAATGCAATTGTTTGCACAAATTGCTAATACGCGTATGAATACAGTTAATCGTGCTAAATGACAACACATGTATGAACAGTGCTGTATTATGTAGGAATCGAGGCAATCGATAAACATAACGACAAATTAAAATGCCGAAATTATTTGATCTACGTCAAGCAATTATTTGATTCAGATATAAGTGATTATTTTTATTTCTATTATTTTTAAGTTTAAGCCAAGCGGAATAAGAGTCAAGAATTCCGATAGTGAAATAGTTCAATAAAAAACATTTATTATTTTGAAATAAACTTTCGATATATATTTATAGCAACCCTAATATCGCAGCTTATGAATCAGCGTTGCCACTTTTTGCCTAATTAATCGTTCACTTTGTATTAAACATTTTTGGCAAGGTTCTTAACACAGCCGGATTAAATGATCAAACGATAACTAAACACTTGAAATTTTTTTGAGTCATTTAATTATATTGCCAAAAAAAATCGTATCGTTTGAATAAGCCCAAAAGTGTGCACTCTGGCAACCCTACGCTTATGTCAAAGCTAATACGGTTTCCTGTTTGCTTGCTTTGACAGCGCTCTTTCTACCATTTGACAGCAACTGAGGTAGGTCGGCCGAGAATAAGTTGTGTACAAATTCCTAAATTATTGCAAACATCATAGTGTTGTATGTGCAAATTATGTGTGCAATAACAAGTTAAAATATTACTGTTAAATGTAGAACAATTGTTGATTGTCAACAGCCAACGATTAATATCAAATCCGGTATTAAAATTTGTATTTCTTTCTTTTTGTTTTTTTTTCAGTGACAATGGCAGTCCGATACGAGCTGTGTATTGGCCTTAACCGCGGCCACAAGACCACCAAAGTCAAGAATGTTAAGTATACCGGCGACAAGAAGGTCAAGGGTCTGCGTGGCTCCCGTTTGAAGAACGTAAGTAAAACAATTTAAAATTTCGATAGAACATTTGTTTACATATACGGTAATTGTAATTTTTTTCAGATTCAAACCCGTCACACAAAATTCACCCGCGATCTGGTCCGTGAGGTGGTTGGACACGCGCCCTACGAGAAGCGCACCATGGAATTGCTGAAGGTGTCCAAGGATAAGCGTGCCCTCAAGTTCCTGAAGCGTCGCTTGGGCACACACATCCGCGCCAAGAGGAAGCGCGAGGAACTGTCCAACATTCTCACTCAGCTGAGGAAGGCTCAGACTCATGCCAAGTAAAACGCTGGCAGCCAACAACGGAAAGCAGCGCAGCAGCAGATTCAACAACAACAGAAACTACTGTGTGTGTGTGTTTTTTTTTTTGTTTTGCGCGGTGTTTTTTTTTTAATCAACTTTCAACTGCATTCAAGCAAGCAAGTGTAAAACAAAAAAGAAACAACAATCTAACTACTTGAATAGTCGATGAAGCCACAATTAAAAAACAAATTATTACAATAATCGCACTGCGCCATAGTTTATTTATTTATTGTGTTTTTATTTTTTTTCGAGTGCACAAAATCGTACATTGATTTGTTTGCTGCAACATAACCTCACTTAAAAGCTTTTTCGTTGCTTTTTTTTTTAACCCGTTTGATTTGTGCCGATTCGGTGCAGTGGGAGTACCGTTAGCTGGCACGCTGCGCAAGCAGAGCTCGTGCACTTGTACAGGGTATTTTAATGTAAGCCGGAAATGTGTACATTTCTGTCAGACCCTCGTACTTATACGCTTGTACAGGGTATTATAAGGTATGCATAACAGGTGCCGCCTTGATCTGGACCTCAACACCTTGCATAGGTCCGTCTGCCTATTGCAGGCATTACATATGTCCAATTGATCACATAGCTTCCATAGGAATAAGGATAATATCAAGATTTCTTGACCAAACCCGACATTCAGTATTATGATATAGTGCTCCGATGCTGATAGAATTTTGCAAGTTTACGACCGATCTTTCCTATGGCAGCCATATGATATAGTGGTACGATCCAGGTGGTTCTGGAAGCAGACACTTCTGCAAAGTTTCAAGGTGATGGCATTAAAACTGAGAGACTAAAGCTGACGGACAGCGGGACATGGAATCAGGAATATATATATATATACTCTATTGGGTTGGAGTTTATGAAACGCTTCGAAGACTTGAAGTTTGTAAACTATCCTGATGAATCTGGTCACAGATCCGACTTTTTGTCCCAGATGGTAAGTACTGCATTTCTTTTTACAAATCTTGAATCGAATCCATCTGGAAACCTGTCTGAAGTTATTTGAAAAAGGGTTATGAATGGGATATGTTGTACGCCGAACGCAACAACAGAAATATGTGCCGGGCATCGATTTGAGCCAGCTACTTTCCATTAGGTTCGACTTGTAAATATTTTGCGGATCAACTTTGGTGCTGGCATACAAATATATATCCGCGTATCTGAATAGTAAGGTGTCATGTTGTGATGTGCATGATTGGGTTTATTAATAATGCTTGTCGAACTCTTAACTTTTGTACTTAATGCTAATTAAATGTGATTTAGAAGTTTGCAATACATAAAAGGTTTTAAATGCCAATATGCTATATGCTATATGCTATATATATATATAGTTAGATAGATAGATAGATATATATGTGTATATGAAGAAGAGAATCAATTGTTGTTCCTGCTGCTGATGCCGCCAGGCCCTGGAGTAGAGTGGGCAATGGTGTTAAAGGTGCGGTCATGTGGAAGCGTATACGTACGGTGCACGGAAGGCAAAGGAAGGATGCTTAAGACTATGAGTACTCGGTGGTGCATTTGTGGAAGGAGCAGCACCATTTGTGAACACAGCCGTTTGTGTGTCGCATAAATATTGTTGTGGGCTTTCGAGTGCATCGGTTTTTCGTTGGTTTTTTTTTGTTTTTTTGGGCTAAATTTAAAAGTCTGCGTCGTTGAGGCTGGGCAACGAGATGGTCACCTCGCCGACCAGATGTGCCTCGTTGGCATCGTTGGAGACGATAATACGCTCGAAATCGGTGCCAATCGGATTGACAATCTCGTAGCAGCTGCTCTCGAGTGCGATGTTCAAATCAGTCTCCTGCTTGATATGGGGCGCAAGGATCTGTTGTGTTACCTCGAGGCTCTCGATGCGCGTCATCTCCAGCCGATAGAAGCCGTTCTCGTCTATGCGATAGGAGAAGCGCTTGTGGCCCGAGGGTAAACGGAAGCCATGCTTTTTGATTAGATGAACCGATAGCGATTTGCCCGTCTTAAAGAAGCGCTCACAGCAATGGCAAGCATAGAATATCGGATTGTTGCCGTGCACCTCGAGAAAGTGCTGTAAGCGACAGAGAGAGAGAGAGAGGGATTATTATTATCGGAGCAATTGGATGAATCTAGAAATGGTCTTACACGTCGCATTTGGGTATAGGTGCGCACAGAGTATTGACAGCCGGGTTGATCGCATTGATGCACCATTTTCGAATGGACAATCTGAACATGCTTGGCCAGATCCGATTCGCGCACACAGCGTGTATCACATTCGGTGCACTTGTAGGGCTTATCCTTTAAATGTCGATATCGGACGTGTGTCGTCAGCGAGCTGGCCGAGCTGCATGTCATGTCGCACATGCTGCACTTATAGCAATTGACATGGCGGACCACATGGCCGCGCAATAGCTTCTCGGTGGCAAAGAATTTGAAACACTGCGCGCACTGAAACTTTTGGGCTAAAGCGAAAGTGGCAGACAATTCAGTTATGCTGCAATCTGAAATGTCCAAAGAGCGACTACTCACTATTGTTGTCCGGCTGGCGGCGCAGATGATCGAACAGCGTTGTCTTGGTGCGGAACAGCTCGCCGCAGTGATAGCAGGCGACATGCTTCTTGTTCGAGTGTGTGCTTATGTGCTCGATGAGCCGATATTTGTTCTCCAGCAACTTGTTGCACATCGTCCAGTTGCACTGCGTCTTGGGTCGCTCGTCATCTGGTGACTTTTGTATCTCGTATTCGAACGATGCATGCTGCACTATGTGATCCTGGAACTCGACAATGGATACAAACGAGCGATTGCAATCACTCCAGCCGCAATGAAAGTTCTGTTTAAGCTCCGGCAGCTTATCGCCACTGCGCGGCGGCGCATAACAGGCGGGTATCTCCGGATGATTCTCGCACTCCTGCTTGCCCTGGAGCAGCAGATTAATGTAGTAGCCATGGTAGTAGCAGTGCCGTTCGAACTCTTGGCGGCAGCTCGTTTGAAAGATGCAGTCGTTCCACACACAGACACATTTGCGCTTGCCCTGCTGGTGTTCCCTTAGATGGTCTGCAATGTGGCTATTGAGCAGCCATTCGCCTTCGCAGATTACCTGACAATCTTGCCAAGCACAGGGCAGCTGCATGTCTGCCGATTTTTTTCGCTTACTCGACGGCTGTTGTCTCATCATTTCGTGTGTATGTCTGTGTGTGGGCGTGCGCAGGCTTGGATTTAGTTTGGTCGCGGATGCTGGTCAATAAATTGCAATTCCCGAGCAAAGAAAAACGCTATCGCAATGGTATCGCAATAGTGATGGCCATTTTCAAAGTGCACTCGTATCGATTTTTTTTATTCAATGTCTATCGATAGCTGCAGTCCCTAGCCAGTCAACTTACGCATCGCTATTATCAACAGTGCTGCCAATTTAGTTGCAATCGCGTTTGTTCTTTCTTCTCTTTACTCACTCACTCACTGTGCTTCTGAAAGCTTTAAGCCAGTTAAATGAATTGCCTGCTAGCTATACATGTAGATAAACTTATACAGACTTATGTGTGCATCCCATTTCACGAGAATCCTTGCAACAATACGTTACATTTGAATGCTTAAAGCTGTTTGATGTTTGTGCACAAATTGAGCATAACCATGGAGCTTGACGATTAAATGAATCTCTCAGCCCAATAAATTGATATTGATAACGTCATTAAACACGGTCTACTTCAATTTGAAGCTACTTTAAATCTTCTTGCCAGCTATTGCCGATCAACGATAATCGATCGTCCAACTACAATCGATAAGTAACATGCATACGAATTATCGATAACTTCACTTTTGTACAAGCAGCATTTTCCCTCCAATTTTAATGATTTCAATAATTGACTTTCTCGTTTTTTTTTGTTTTTCTCCTAATATACATTTGTTTTTTTATTTTTTTTTTATATTATATTATACAATATGATATCTATGCTAATTGCGCCTAGAGCAAATGCACACCTCGCATTCATAATTTTCCCACCATATGCTGTTCAAATATGGAACTTAGGGGCTAAAATAGTTTTTTTTTTTTTTTTGTTGTCACCTGGCAAACCGAGTTAACTTGGGCTTAAAGTCCTGGCATAACATAGGCAATGTTGTCCAGCGTCGTTGCCAGATTTGTGCTCAGCTGTTGCTTGTTCTCCAGCCCGGGTATTTGCGTTGTCATACAGAGCAACGGTCCCATCGAGCACAGCAGACTGTCCAGCAGCACAGACAGGCTGCCGGAGAGTGCCACATGACCGTTATGCTCCTTAAGTCGTTCCCCAATAACCGTCAGACTCTCGCCGAGCAGCTTTAGGTGGGCGGCCGCATCGATTGCCTCAATGCTTGACTGTTGGTTGACAGCTTTGCCACTCAGTTCCATGTCTAGCGTTCCATTGCCATGCCTGGCGGCGGGCACAGCGGATGTGCCCGCCTGGCTGCCGGCTATGGGGCTTGCCTTAATGCGACTATTGCTGTTGCGTTTCTGTCTGCTCTGTGCCCACGTGGACGGAGTCGCTGTGTTGGCACCCAGCTGCGGTTGCTCGGGCAACTGACGCCGATCTGCGGCCAATTTCTTGGTGCGGCTTGTGGTGGCCCGATTAACGAAGCACGCATCAGTCGTATTTGCTGCAACAGCAGCTGAATTAGCATTGCCTGTCCTTGGAGGCGTCAATGCTGTGGCCAGATCTGTCGTGGCGTTCTTGTCGCGGGCGCGCGCCTTTGTCGCCAGCACCTTGGCTTTGCGCCGCCAGGCATTCTTCTCCTTGTGCGAAACGTTTGCCCACAGTTCGCTGAAGCGTCGGGCCGCATTGGCAAAATCTAGGCCAAAGGGAGGGATTAGGGATTAGAATCGCTGTGCATTTTGTTTTGAATTGAGATTGCTCACCCAGATCCGGAAAATCACGTTTACGCACCTCACGCGCCCACAGGCTGTAGGCCGTGTAGCGCACTCTGACCTTGTCCTTTCTCTGTAGCTTATTATCCTTGAGAATTTTGCGCTTATTGGACTTTTCGCGCATGTAGAGACTCTGTCGTACACGGGAATCGTTTGTGTAGGAGGCCTCCGCCTCAACGCCCTCAACCAGATCCTGGACCAAGGTGTCCACCTCATCGTCGGAATTCATTAGAACGGCGGCGCCGCCAATGTGCGCTGCTGTATCCTCCTCATCGGAGAGACTGTGATTGGGCTCCAGATCATCTTCGTCATCTTCTTCGTAGGCCAGCGCCAGTTCCTGTTCGCGCTCGCGCAATGCATTGGGTGGTCGGCCTCGTCCCGGATATCGGGCTGGTTGTCTGCCAGGACGCTTGGTACGCTTCTCAATTTCCTCGGGTGACTCGAAGTCCAATAGTTTTGATGATTTTTTGCGTACGCGTCCGCTTCGGGAAACGCCAGTCACCTGAAAATCTAAGCTTTCGATTAGCCTGGCTTGTTCTCAAGCTCGTTTTTCACAAAACGCACCCTTTGCCACAGGATTCGATATGGGTGATTCCATTGTTTTGATTCAATTGGTATCAATATTGTTAATTGTTGTAAGCGACGCGATGATAAATCTTTAAACAGCTGTTCGCTGAAGATGCAGACGGTCACACTGGACGAAACCGATAGGCACTGGCCATGATTAAACGCATTTAGAAGGTTGCGCAGTAGTTATTCACCTATCGTTTGGCTTAGTGCATCGGGCGTGCGTCATGAGTGCCAACTAATTGTCAATAGCGCGAAAACTACTTAGGCTAACATGCATTGTCTTTCATTTGGGTTACACGTAAATATTGCATTGCTTAGTAAATGCATGAATAAACTTAAAATTATGTTTAAACTGGATTTTCTTTCAAATAATTGTTGCCTTTAATTTACAGCACGTATTGGAATTTTCTTATTCTAAAGTGCAGATTTAGACATAAGTGACGTCACAGCCGCCTATCGATATAAACAAAAGCTATCGTTAGCGGCCGCGCGTGCCAAACTCTATGAGGTGCGTCAAACTAGCGGCGGTAACCTAGCGTCGATTTTTGGTACTTGGTATCGGAGTGCAGAATCGTGCAAAAACTAGCTGGCAATATTACTCGATATTTCTCGTTATGTTGGTGGGCTTTACATATCGATAGACATAAATATATAAGTTAATACAAAAAGTGGCCGTGGTAAGTGATCTGATTATGTAAATTATTATACATATCTGTGGCGTAGTTCATTTATTACAAGCATTTAAGAGCTTTCAAAATCAAAAACTTCGATTGTCTATCGCTTTTGTATATCGATTTAACATAACTTCAATATATCGGTAAATGAATCAAATAAGAGGCCATCGCTAAACAAAACCAAACAATTGATAATAATTGAATTGCTTAAATTTATGTTGAAAACGCCGCAAAATGATCTGTCGCTTGTGTTTAAAAAGCATAAACGCAAACAATGCCGTCTATCTGTTCGAAACCAACGACACACTGGCTGAATCCTCGCTGCTGAAGATGATAGCCAAGTTTCTGCAGCTTGAGGTAAGTTTTCGCTATGCCCCAATTATTTAGAGAAATTGAGTGCATTTATTGATGGATTGCAGATAATGCCCGATGACAACATCTCGACAAACATTTGCCACGAGTGCTGTGAGCACTTGGAGGATTTTAACAACTTTTGGCAGCTGGTGGAGCAAAAACAAGGAACACTTAAAAAGGAGTTCCTTAACGTGGACGTCGACTGTGTCGCCCTCAAATGGACGGGCATCGATGTGGATGTCAACATTGATGAGCTGCCACTGGTGGCCGATGAGATGGACGAGAAGCCCCTCGATATACACAATCTCAGTCTGCTCGGCAGTGTGCTTGATGTGAACGTGGATAGTGTGGAGGTGCCGCAGCTAACAACTGCCCCAAAACAATCCCAGACTGAACATTTACCGCCGCTGCTGGCTCCCGACCCTACCGCTGACGACGACGACGACGAGGATGTCGAAGAGAAGCCAACAATGCACGACAGCAGCGACAGCGCGCGGAACGCTTCCTCAGATGATGTTGACGCAGATGAAGATGATGGCGATGACGATGATGATGATGATGGTAAGTGCTCGTACAGCGTCTCGAAGCAGATTCTAACAGCTTGCCGGCTTACAGACGAACTGCCGCTGGTCAGGTTGCAGCACAAGCTCAAGCCGAAGCGCCAAGCACGCGCCGTGACACGGCGAAACAAGCGAACGCTAACGCTCGCCCAAGAGCTTGATCAGCTGCTGGATGACAGCGAGCGAGCGGGCAGCAGATCGCGACGAAAGAAAACAACAAACAGTGCGCCAACCGATGTTCAAAGGAGCGAACTGCAAGCGGCACTGGAGCGCAAGCCCAAGGGCTGTTCCCGTGCACAGCTGACCAAACGCTACGAAGAGGCCATCGCCAGCTATATGAGCGCCGACTGTGATCTCTGCGACTTTAGTACCAAGTACCTGTCCCAGCTGAAGGTTCATTTCCTGGAAGTGCATCAGCGCGATGCGTATCTCAAGTGCTGCAACAAGGTCTTCAATCGCGCCTCCAAGCTGATGGATCACATACGCAAACACATCAATCCCAGTCTATTCACGTAACCTCCGATTCCGTTCAGCGCTTAGCTAACCAAAATAACAACTTAATTCGCCTTGCAGCTGCTCCATTTGCAACAAGTCACTAAATTCCCAGGACTATCTGGCCACCCATATTGAGACGGTCCACAACAAGGTTGCCCAGATTGGCAAGGTGCTCAAGTATCCCTGTCCCAAGTGCGAGCGCACCTTCAGCAGCGAACGTCGACTGGGCAATCATCTACTTAAACACGACACGGATCAACTGGAGCACCAGTGCCACATATGCCACAAGAGGTGCGTTGTCCCTTATGTCACATAATCCAGTTCGCTCTAACGCATGCACCCCTTTATCTCCCTCTCGCTCTCGCTCTCTCGCTCTGTCTATTGGCAGCTTTGCGAATGTGCATCGACTGCGTCGACATATACAGTCCATACACGAGGATCTGCATCCGCATGTCTGTGATATATGCGGCAAGAAGTTCAAGTTTAAGCCCTCCTTCGAACGGCATTTGCTGGAGCATCAGGGCGTTGTGGCGCCGGCCATGGAGTGCCCCGTGTGCGGTGTCTGGCTAAAGAACGAGCATAGCCTGCGACTGCATCGCTTTACACACGACAGCACCGATACCGTCTGCCCGCACTGCTCGAAAACGTGCAGCTCCCGTACAGCGCTGCGCGCCCACATTAAATATGCCCACAAGCTGACCACAAATCTACAGTGCACATACTGCGAGAAGAGTTTCAAGCAGCAGCGCAATCTGGAGGAGCACATGGCCATACATACCGGCCTGCAGCTATACAATTGCCCGCATTGCCCCAAAGAATGCCGCAGTCGCTCCAACATGTACGTCCACATCAAGCAGCGGCACGCGGACGAATGGCTGAAGGCGAAAATGGCCCGATCCCACAATCCGCAGTTCAAGCCGCACGCCTAGCATGGACCTTAGCTATTATGTTGTTATAATATTGCTTAGCATCTCTTATGTTTGTCCGCAGACTGCACCATTTGACAAGGAATTTACATTAAACGAGTTATCTGGAATTGTGATTGCGTGCGTACGTGTGTGTGTGTGTGCGTGAGTGTGTGTGTTAACAATTGGGCAGCAGCTCGCCCAGCGCCGAGATCAGGCGCGTTGGCAACGTCTCCGGAAAGCTGATCTCAAAGTTGACACATAGCGCGCCGCGACGCAACGGATTCTTCGGATATGGCAGTCCGCGATCATTGAAACGCTTCAGCGTATTCGGCTTTATGATCTCACCGCTGCTGCAATACGGAAACGGATTGCCCAACAGCTGGGGCACCTGTATGGTCGCGCCGCAGAGCGCCTGCTTAAGCGTTATGTGTGCCGTATAGTGAATGTCGCTGCCCTCGCGCTGGAATAGGGGATGCGGCTTGTCGCGTATGATGAACACTATGTCGGCCGGTATGCGATTGGGCGCCTCATCGCCCTCCTTTGGGAATGTGATCTTGGTGCCCGATTTCCAGCCGGGCTTGATCTCGATATCGAGCAATTTGATCTCTTTGCGCGGCTGGCCGTTGGTCATTTTGATGCGAGAGATTTGCATTTTTTTATTGCAGCCATTGTTGATGTCCTCCAAGGACACATACAGCTCGTGCTCAATGGCGGGATCCTGTTCGGGGCGTGACTGAAAATTGCCCATGCCGCCCCACAGGCCACGCGGACTGTTGTCGTCTGTCATAAAGATTTGCTCCAGATTCTCGCCAAAGAACATGCTGAACGGATCACTCGAGCCGAAGAACTGTGCAAATGTGGCGCGCGGATCGCCATGGAACTGGTAGGCAAAGCTCGTTCCGCCCTGATCGTTATGGTTGCCGGGTATGCCATGCTTGAGTCCATCTTCGCCGTACTGATCATAAATGTCGCGTTTCTTTTTGTCCGACAGCACCTCGTAGGCCTCGGCCACCTCCTTGAAACGCTCCTCCGCCTTGGAGCTCTTGTTTTTGTCCGGATGGTATTTGAGGGCCAGTTTGCGGTAGGCCTTCTTAATTTCGTCGTCCCTGGCGTTGCGACTAATACCAAGTGTCTTATAAAAATCCTTGCCCATCTTTGGTATTGTTGTTTATTTATATTCAGTTGACTGTGCTCTTTTTACACATATGCCTTTGACGTTCTGACAAATAATTAAAAATGCTCACTGCTAATTTTCATTCTGACAATACTTCGAGAAAGCGCCTTAAATTAAAAAATTCGATAGACAAAAGTGTTTTGGTGTTGAGGTAATCGATTGCGCTGAAAATATCGGTGTTGCCATACTGCTTATAATTGACTATATATTTGGAATGCAACACCAACATTGGATATTTATTCCCATTTAACAGTATTACTCCACACTTAACAGGCATGTATGGCCATTTAAATGATTTGCTCCTTACGTTAACAGAATGTACTCCCCCAATAACATATCGCTCATCACTAGAATGCAACGCCGTAAGCGCAAGCTGGCAGCACTGTGTGCAAAAAATACATACGATTTAAACTAATGGAACAATTACGTATTACGTGAAAAGAACGCACCAAAAGTAATAATAAAGTTAATATTAAACAAGATAGTGTTATAAACGCCAACAATATTGAGCGTGTGTGTGTGCTATATTCAAATAATCCAAGAGGAAAAGTGATTCAAACGAGTTTCAGCACCTTGGATTTCGATTACATTTTTCATCTATACACTTGCAAAAGCGACCAGAGCAGCAGCAGCAGCAGCAGCAGCCGCAGCACGACATTAGAGAGACAGAGAGCGCTAACAAGCGAGAACGTAGGAGAGCCGAAGCCAGACAGAAAGACAGACGGGCAGCCAGCGCAACACAGCCAACAACAGCGGCCCAAAACGCGTTGAATAGCGACGGCAGGGGAAAGAAATCTGATTTGGCCAAAACGAAAAAGAACAAACAAATTATAAATCGTATACGCCACCGCGCTCTTCATTAAAGAAAGACACACACAAACGTGTCTTACCCAAAAAACATTTGGTTATATTTTTTTTTTGCAAACGGCTGAGTAAGCGTAGAAGAGTGCAAAAAACGTACAAAAGAAAGAAAAAAAGGAGCCAAGGAGCAACGAACTGTGTGTGCGGTGTATGCTCTGAGTGTAAAAGGGTAAGCACTATATACATTTACGTTTTCTCGTTTGATGTTCTTGTTATTGCTGTTGTATAGACCACATGCTCTTATTGTCTCACTCGCACTGCACACGATTGCTGCTGTTGCATTGTCGTTAGAGGTGGCGGCGGCAGCGGCGGTGGCGACACTGCAGGTTTATCATTTGTTTTCTGATTTGCATTCGCATTTGCAATGTTTGCAATAACTTATTAACACATTAGCTTAATAGTTATGTGTACGTATTTATTTTGCGTTGCGATAACATTACGTGCATGAGAAAAACATTATGTTAAAAGTCTGGTTCGATATATCGAGCGCATGTGGCAACGCTGTGCCACCGCCAGGCACACACACTTGCGCATACACAGACACACACACACACACACACATCCAAATATACTGCGAAAAGAGTAGCACCAGCAAGAAGAAGCAGCAGCGGCAAACTTCTCGCGCGGTGGATGTAGTGCAGCTAATTTTATAATAAAAGTAAATGTTTATTGAAAAAATCAAATTTCTAATAGAAAGGCAAGGCAGTTAATTGTGAATAAATGCAAATGCAACAGAAAATGCAATCAAGCCAATAATTCACTCAACCATCTAAACAGTTCTGCGAGTGCGTATTCGTTTAAGGGTGCATATGTGTGTGTGTGTGTGTCGAGTGTGAGCGAGAGTGCCTGTGTGTGTGTGTGTGTGTTCGCTATTAAACGGCACATTTTACTGTGCCTTTCGACGACTCGAGACTCAATAAGTGTGCAGCAAATGTCGTGTTTATTTGGCCAGGCTTCGAAAAGTGTGTAGATTATAATTAAGCTGGTGTGTGGCATATAATAAACCACGGAAATAACAAAGCAAAGTGCGCGTGTGTCGCCCGATTCCCTGTGCGACTGTGTATGTGTGTGCGTTTGTGTGAATGGTTTTTGTTGTTAAGACATCACTTTTAAAAATTGTTACCAAGCATTATTGTCTTATGATTTTGTATCTGCCAAACCCGCTATTATCAAAAGAAATGGCCAATTCACAAATTGCCAGCATTTGAAAAGTTTGCATTTGCAATGATGTTGATGTTGATGATTTTTTTTTTTTTTTTTCATCTGCTGCTTAATGCTGCTGCCAGGCTTCTGTGTGTCAGCCATTGTTCTTCTTCATTTATTACACGAAGACGCCACCGCATACTTCTTGTGTCTTGTGTTCTGTTTCTGTGTGTGGGTTGTGCGTGGTTGCGGGGGCGGGGGGTCCAGCATTTGAGCGCAAGCAGACAATTCACAGAGAGTGGTCCTTATAGCCATCTCGCTTGTGCACATGTCATTTGACCATAAACGGCTATCTATGCTTGGCTCGCTCTTTGCCTTATGTTCGGTTACTGCTCACACGCAGGCATGGGCATGGGGCGGTTGGGTAGGCCCCATGGAGGTGCGCATACATACACACGCACACACACACACGCACTGCATGGCACGAGTGCAAGGCGACCCGGCAGCCCACGTACCAAAACAAATAAAACAATACACAAAAATTGCAACAAACAAATGCAGCAGCAGCTTACAATATGACACCCTGAACCACCCACACCCACACCCACACCCTCTTTTTAAATGGACTCTCTCTCTTATTCGCTCTTGCTCTTAGTCGTTTTACAGCTCACACAAGAAGACTGAGAACAAACACAGCAAAAACACACAAGTAAAGAAAATCTAGCAACAACAAACAGAACGCAAGGCGCCAAGGAGGCACCTAGAAGAGATCTCGACCTCCTCGACATTTGCACGTCCCAACAAAACAATTCGAAAATCCGCATATAACTGCAACAGAAACCGCATCGAGCGAGCGATTAGCTTGGAGCGCGGCGGCAGTAGGCGGCAAAGGAAGCTAACGCTAATGAGGATCTATTGGCAGCATGAGTACACTGGGGGGAAGTAGGGGAGAGCGAAATGCCAAGCCCAAATTCACAGCGTTGGATATAAATCGCATGTACAAGAATAGCCGTGTAAGTAGAAAGCACCAGCAGGCTCCTTCTGTCATGTTTGTCATGTGGAAATCATTGTATATTCAATATTTTTGCAGGGCGAATCGAGTGAACCGTCAGCCCAAAAGAATCAAGTGCCGCGTAAACATGGAATGCAAATCTTGGGCAAAGTGCCTTCCGCTAGGCGACCACCAGCCAATCTGCCATCCCTGAAGGCTGAGACGAACAGCAGCAGCAGCAGTAGCAGCAACAGTGCAACGCCCTTAAGCAACAACAACAACAGCACCAATAACAATCTTCTTGCATCTGTCGAAGGTGAGTGCGGCTTGAAATTTGAATTGCCTCCTGTGAACTAAATTTCAAATGTTTCTATTATCAGGCAACAACAGCAGCAGCAGCGGCGGCGGCATCGGCAGCTCTAGCGCAGGAGGTGCGGGCGGAACAGGTACAGGTGCAACTGGATCAACTGGCGCAGGTGCAAACAGCAGCAGCAGCCACAACAACATCGCCACTGGACACAGCAGCGGCGGCAGCGCAGCAGGAGTATCAGCTCTTGGACACCAACACAACAGCGCTAATAAATACAATAGCAGCAACAGCAGCAGCAGCAGCAGCAATAACAACAACAGTACCAGCAACAATAACAGCCACAGCAACAGCAACAACAATAAGAACTTGAAATTAATTAATAACTCGGCAACAAGCGGAGGTGCTTTAGCCAGCGGCGGCGGCGGAGGAGCAGGATCAGGTGGTGTTGCTGCAAGCGGCAGCGGCGGCCACTCAAATAATTCACCCAAGACATGGTCAGCAATAACGACAGGACACGAACGTGCAGGCGGCACCGGTGGCCATGGCCACTATGGCAACCGCCAGACGCACCAGCAGCAACAGCAACAGCAGGTGGTGCCGCACTATCAAAGTCCGCAATTTCAATACGAGTTCCCAACACTAATGGGCGGCGGCGGCGCTGCATCCTCTGGTGGTCACGCGGGCGCAGCCGGTGGCGGTGGCAAATCCAAGGATCAGCAGGCACATTACCAGGGCCAGCAACAGCATGCGCATCATCACCAGAATCATCATTATCAGCAGCAGCAGCAGCAGCAACAGCAGCGCGATTATCGCGATCATCATGGCCATCATGGGCGTCAGTATGGCGGACACGGACACCATTCGCATCGCGGCGGCGGCGCCAATGCGGATCCCGGCAGCTACAGAGATGGCAGCGACGACGTCGGCGGTGGCAGCGAACTCAGCGAGATGAGTCTGCGGCCCCAAACCGATCCGGCCGCTTGGCTGCAGCAACAGGAAAAGGCCGCCAAGGAGTTGGCATTGAACCAACAGGGCCAGGGCCACCAGATACCGGCCAACGGCAGCGGTGCGGGCGCAGGACCGGGCGGCAGTGTACCACTGCCCATACTCTCACTAATGCCGTCATTTATGCGCAGCGGAGCACCGCTGCCCGCCACCGGTCTGGGAGGAGGTGCGCCCACAATGGCGGCAGCCCTTGCGAATGCCGCCTCTTGCGTTGCCGCAGATCTGGCATCATCTGCGCCGGCTCCCTATCAGAATGGCATTGCCGGCAATCGATCCGCCTCACCGGCCGTCCTGGGCAGTTTTCGTGCTGCGGCCGCAATACCGAAGCGACCAGTTGCCGGCTTAGCGGCGGCGACGACGACGACGACGCCACCGCCATCAGCGGCGATGGGCGGTAGTGGAGCGACAACGCCTCCGCAACAACAACAGCAGCAACAGGCGAATGGACCGGGCGGTCGCAAGGACAAGGACAAGGATTATGTCGTAGAGCCGGAGGTAGCACAAATGCAGCGTCCAATCATACGCGAAGAGGATCTGGAGCGTCTGAATGCGATTGCCAAGGACGACAGCTGGACGAAACAGGATGAAATTGACTACACCAAGAAACTAACATTCTCCGATGACGAGGAGCATGCCAGCCCCGAGGATCAGCACCACAACAGCAGCAATAGCCACAACAAACAGCAGCATCTGCAGCAGCAGCAGCAGCAGCAGTCAATCCAATCCAGCAGTAGCAGCAGCAGCAGCAATAATAATAATGACCAGCGCAAATTGTCCACCAGCAGCTCATGGCAGCGTGGCAAGGATAGCAGCGAGCGAGACTTGGATGGCCCCTCCGATCAGGGTCAAGAGCTGCGACAACAGAACGGCCATCGCGGCAGTTCCGGCAATGTGATCGTTGGCAGCAGCGGTGGCGGCGGCGGCGGCGGTATTGCTCTCGATGCCGGCGTCTATGAACGGGTAAAGCAGCGTAAGGAGGAGGAGGAACGTCGCCAAATGGAGCGCAAACAGGCGGCGGCAAAAAAGCTGCAGGAGCTTGAAATGAAAATGAATTGCAAGAAGGCGCTTAGCGAGGGCAATGCCACAAGTGCGGCATCTGGTGAGCTCCCAGCCGTGCCACTGGGCAATGTTAGTGAGGATGAGGGCGGAGGTGTTACCGGTGCCGGACAGCAGCAGCAATTGCAATTGCAGCAACAGCAACGTCGACCACGTGGCAGCATCTCTAGCATGGGCAGTGCCGGTGGCGGTGGCGGTGGCGGTGGAAGCGGCGCCAGCTCAGCCTCGCTTGCGGCAAGTACAGCTGCCGGGGATTACGGACAGAAGCCCGTCTTCATGACGCATTTCCAATCGAATTTACCGCCACGCTTTCAGCGCCAACAACAACAGCAACAACAACAACAACAGCAGCAGCAGCAACTGCCGCGCGGCGGCTTGGAGAAGAGCGCCTCCGCGAGCAGCGCCTTCGAGGGCAGCGGTTCACGTTATCTGCAAAAGGGCGGCGGCGGCGTCGGCAGCGGCTCCAACGGTGGCAGCGGTAGCGGTGTGCGCAGCATCTCCGGCGGCTATGCGCGTGTCGGCAGCAGCGGCAGCTACGGGCGCAATCGTCATGATAGCGCCAGAGAGGAGCAGGATGCGTCCGGTGCGCGTGACCTGGACCAGTCGAGATATGCACGCGGCCAGGAGTATCGCAGTGGACAGCAACAGCAGCAACAGCAACAGCAGCAACAATTGATGCAGTCGCGCAGCATCTCGGAGAACTCGCATCGCAAGACGAGCGTTTCCTCCAGCGACGATGTCGGCATGGGCAGCAACAACGGCGGCGGCGGCGGCGGCGGCGGTTGTTCCTCCTGGGCAGAGCAAACGGATGCTGAGCAAAAGCATCATCGTCATCGCGAGGAAAGCTTTTCATCAACACATAGCCATGATTCGGCTGTGCAGATCAAGATACTGCAGCGGCCAGCGCGACAGCCGAGCCTCAGCGAGGAGAAGCCGCTTGCAGCCGGCGGAGTGGGCGCGCTCCAGAAACAGCCCCTGGACACCATGCAGAGCATTCAGCCAACACAGATACTGAGACGCAGCGTGGAGCCCGTTGACAAGTCGGACGAGAAGATAGCGGAGCGTGAGGCGAGCGACAAGTCCGCCGAAACGGAGCTAACCAAGTCGACGGCATATCCCGCCGCTGTCAAGAATGATGATGACAAGGATGCGTTGCGCAACTCAACGATATGTTCGACTGCCACGTCCGCAACACAGCCAGTGGCCGGCAAACGACCAAGTCCACGCGGTGGTCGCGGTCGCGACGACATCCATACCCGCGGTGCCGGCAGAAGCTATCCGGCCAGCGGTGCAGCCGGTGGTCCGGCTGGCGGCTATCGTGGACAGCGCAGCAGCAGCGACTGGAGCAGTCGCAATAGCAGCGCTGCAGGAGGCGGCGGCGGCGGCGGCGGGCGTCGCTATTATGGCAGCGGCGGTGAGCAGTCCGAGCAATCGGAAGACGTTGACGAGGATTGTTACAGTAGCAGTGGCGGCGGGGGCGGGTCGCGACGCAGTCCCAAAGTGCAGTCACGCTCAGAGCAGAGCAGCAATAGCAGCGGCTCAGGCGGTGTATCCACATCTGGCGGCCAGTCAGCAGCAGCAGGAGGTGGTGGAGCAGGAGGGCCCATTGTCAACAAGGCGGGCTTTTCGCCACGTGGCGAACCATCGCGACGCGGTCGCGGTGGTCTATCCAGTTCCAGTGGCAGCTCAGCGCCAGGTTTTCGACGCCAACCAGCAAGCGGAGGACGCGCCTATGGCCGGCTGGGCTATGAAGAGTATGGCAAACAGCGCAGCTCGGAATCGGAAACAGGCAATGCACCAACTGCTGCGGACCTAGACAAGACCAAGCAGAATCAGCTGGCGCTCAGTGCGGGACTGCACAAGGGCAAGGACGAGAAGGAGGAGCTGTCGCCCGACAAGGACAAGAGCATCAGCAACAGCAGCAGCAGCAGCCAGAGCAACAGCAGCAACATCACCAACATTAATATAACCAACACTGCCGTGGCCAAGGAGGAGCCACACAAGGATGCGCCCGCAACTGGAGCAGCAGCAGCAGCCAGGCCGCCCCCAGGACTGAGCACAACTGCCGCTGCCGCCGCCGCTGCTGCTGCAGGCGTGCCGCCTCTATTAGCTGCCCCAGGCAGCGATGTGCCCGGCAAAAAGAAGAGCAGCGAATGCACAACAATTGTACCGCCAACGGCAGCAGCAACAGCGCCCATCGGCGACAAGTCCAAGCTCTCCGCCATTGGCGAGAAGAGTGCTGTGGGCGTCGGCGTTGGAGTTGGAGTTGGCGTCGGTGTGGTGGGAGCTGGCAGCCTTCTGATCGATGCCAATGCGCCAGTTAACACGATTATCTTTGAGAACTCGACGTACAAGCAGCAGCAACAGCATCAGGCAGCAGCCGTTGTGCCGCTCAAGCAGCAGCAGCAGCCAACGCTGGGCGGAGCAACAGCAGCAGCCGTTGATAGCTTGTCGACAGCGCTCTCCCAGATGAGCTTTGGCGGCGGCAATGACGATGAACAGCAGCAGCAGCAGCAGCAGCAGGACATGAAACTGGGCTTCAGCTTCAGCGATGATGCTGCCACTCTCAAAGTGGTCGAAAGCTTGGAGCACCAGCAGCAGCAGCAGCAGCAACAACAACAACAGCAGCAACAACAGCAGCAAAACAACTCCACGGCGGACCTGAATATGAAGATAGCGAGCGTGAAAAAGGTATGGGAATCGGCCACGCCCATGTCGGAGGCAACGCAACAGTCGAGCCAACAGCAACAGCAGCAGCAGCAGCAACAACAACAGCAGCAGCAGCAGCAGCAACAGCAGCAACACGCGCAACAGCAGCAACATTCACAACAGCAACAACAGCAGGCAGCCGCAGCAGCAGCGGCAGCAGCAGCTGTTGCCGCCGTTGCACAGCAGCAACACGCACAGCAGCAACAGTCGCAGCATGGCCAGCACGGGCAACACGGCCAGCAGCAGGTCTCGAGCTCTGTGGTGGATGATAGCGGCAGCCATATCGCCGCCTCGTTTGTCGCCGCAGTCGCTGCCTCACAGCAGCAACAGCGCCAGCAACAGATGCCACACTATGCTGTCTCGGCGGTGCACATGCAAAGCCATCACCAGCAGCAACAGCAGCAGCAGCAGCAGCAACAACAACCGCAGCATCATCAACAACAGCAGGCACATCATGGCCACCATGCATTGTCCTCGCCAGGACCAGTCTATGGCAGTCACGGCTCACCCTTCGATGCCGGCTCCCTGGAGCAACAGTTCCAGCAACAGCAGCAGCAGCAGGAGGATTACCCAAGTCCACAGCAGCAGCAACACTCGCAGCAGCATCAACAGCAGGTGAAGGCCAAGCAGCTGCACGCCAGCCTGGGCATGTCGCCGCCGCCCAGCCACCAACAGCAGCAGCAGCAGCAGCAACAACACTCGCAACAGCAGCAACACTCACAACAGCAGCAACACTCACAACAGCAGCAGCAGCAACAGCTGCCGTTCTATCAGGCATCGCCGCAGTTTGGCGTCGGCGGCATTCCAACGATTCCCAGCCCGCCGGCGGTTGTGTTCAACTCATCGCAGCTGGCGCCGCCGCCATCGCAGGCGGGCAATCTGTACGCTCCATTCCATTCGCTCGATCATTCGAACCGCTCGCCCGCCTACTCAGCGGCAGCAGCTGCTGCCGCTGCGCACAGTTTCCCGGGCCATTATGCGGCCGCTGCAGCGGCGGCAGCCGCCGGCGGCGCCTTCAATGCGTACGCCATGCAGACGCCGCATGGTCATGGTGGCAATATGCCGCCACCTCCAGCGGCGCACACGCCGGACATGTACTCCAATTTGTCGTCGCAGTTCCGGCTAGGCGGCGGTCCCTTTGGCCAGCCGCAGCCCAATTCGCAACAGCTAAACAATCCCAATGCCGCCGCCGTGGCCATCATATCCTCCAACAGCAGCTCAATGATGTCCTCGGGCTCGGCAAAGCCGCCGCCGCCCAGTCAACAGCCCATTGGCGCCATTGGCTCCAAGTCGGCGGGCAGCGGCGGCGGTCCAGGACCCGGTCCAGGACCCGGACCCGGACCGGGACCGGGACCCTATGCAGCCGCTCAGCAGTACATGAATCTTTATGCCGGACCGCATCCGGGCCAGGGCGGACATCCACCAGGCGCCCATCAGCTGCAGTCGAACAGCTACTACTCGAATTCAGCGCCCGCCGGCCCCAGCGGTCCCCAGTACTATGGCGGACCGCCACCCCAGGGTGCCGGCGGTGGTGGCCAAAACTATGGCCTGGCCACCGCGGCTGGCATGTACGGCGGCCATCAAGGTGGCCCGCCGGGTTCGAATGGACCGCCGGGTCCGCAGTCTCAGCACACGATGGGGAACTTCAATACGCAGTTCATGAACTCACAGCTGCTGACCGCGGCGGGGATGAGCCAGTTCCGTGGCGGTCCGACGCCCGGCGGTGGTTACCTGAAGAACAGCCAGGGCCAGGGACACATGCAGGACTCGGTAAGGAGTGAACCACAACTACAACTACAACCACAACCACAACCACGCCCACTATCAAGCACACACACCACACTCTTTAACTACCAGAATCTGCCCATGTACAACCACATGAAGACCCAATCCCCCAGCAATTTGTATTAAGTTTTGTACGCTTTTGCTCCCGATACCCGCTTTATTTTTTCTTTTTTTTTTTTTTTTTTAATCTTGAGGAGAGCCCAGCCCGTCTCTGTTTTGCTAGGCAGCCAGATGTCTGTCTGTCATAGAGCTCAAAATATCATATTATGTGCATTCGATTCAATAAAAGTATCAAGTAAAATGTATTCTAAAACTAGATATCGATATCAAAGACGAAACACAAACTGTTTGCCTAAACAAGAATATCAGAAGATCAGAAGAAAACGAAGAAGTAGTAGTGTATTCACTTGCTGTTATATATCTGATTTATTCTAATAAATCTCTAGTTCCGGGCCGATATATCATTGTACTATATATATGTATATATATATATAGTGTCAATATTGATATGATATTTCTCGCAAGCCAATTACGATTTGGTTTCTCTTATATTTTGGTCGAAGAATGAATATTTTTGCTTGATAATATTTCGATTTTGAGCACATAAAAATTAAAAAAAAAACAAAGAATAATTCTATACTTTTCATTTTATTTTTCTGTGGCCAACAAATATAGGTATTACAAATTTTCACCTGAGATCTTAACAATTCCTAGTTAAATTGCGGCTTGCGACTTGAAGAATTGATCAAGCACAAGACTTGGATCTTTTATTGTGAATAATTAACAGAGGGTTGTACATGGAATTCTTAAATACTGCTAGGGGATTTTCTTCGTTCTGTAAAAGATTAACCAACACTGAGTATATAATGGATAGTGTTCTATAACCTGTTAAAAAAAAGAAAAGTTTGTTCCCTTCTGGAAGTTCATTTAAATTTCACAAATAAATTCGAAACTCGCTCTGTTTCTCCCTCTCTCTCTCTCTCTCTCTCTCTCTCTCTCTCTCACTCAGGCTCCCTCTCTAAAATGCAATGCATTGCTATCTCTCTCACTCTCGCGCAGCTTTGAGCACGTTAAGATAAGTGTCAAGGCGCTCGGCCTGGCAAGCGAGCAGACCCTGGTTCAATGCCAGTCGGACACTATCAGATATTTTTTTTTTTTTTTCTTCTGACAATCAATTTCTTCTAGTTAAACTTTTAGATTTTAGACAAAGTTTGGAACTTTTGCCGTTTGAATTAACATATTGTAAAGACCCTTGCCCACAGGGTGTCTAACTAGGCCTGTAGAGACCCGGCTGCACCTGGCCTTGGATCTTAAGTTTGTTATCTAATGTGATTTTGTTACTCTTTGCAGATGGGCAGACAATTGAAGAGTCCATTGAGCGCCGACATGAGCCTGGGCCTGGCCAAGCAGGTGCAGTCGCAGCCTAGTCCGCCGCACCACAAGAACTATGGCGGCGTAAGTAGCCTTAACTGCAACGGCAACAACAGCAACAGCAGCAGCAACCTGCAGCTGGGCAACCGACTCACTGACCCTTCTCAATTCTTTCATGCGCAGTGGGATCTGCAGAATCAGGTGCTGCAGCAGCAGCAGCAGCAGCAACAGCAGCAACAGCAGCAGCAGCAGCAGCAACAGCAGCAATCTCAGCAGCGACAGGGCGGCAACGGCAACAACATGAACACGCTGGGCGGTCGCGGCACTGGCGCCGTGGGTAGCGGCTCCGGTGGCTCACAGGTGGTGGGCGGCGGCGGCGGCGGCGGTGGCGGCGTAGTTGGTGGTGGCAACGGTGGAGTTGGTAGCGTCGGACAAAGCGGCGGCGGTGGCCAGGGACGTTATCCGGCGCCTATACAGCGGCCCAATAACTATCCACAGCATCCACAGCAGCAACAACAACAACAACAGCAGCAGCAGCAGCAACAGCAACAACAACAGCAGCAGCAGCAGCGCGATCAGGCGGCGGCGCAGCGCGCCCAGAGCATGCGACAGGTGACGGGTGGCGGCGGCGCCGGCAGCGCCGGCAATAGCAACGCGCCCGGCGTACCACCTGGCGCCAACAATGGCGGCAACGGCGGCCCTGGTGGCCCTGGCGGTGCCGGCGGCGGCACATCGCCAGCCTCGGCGGCGCAGCTCAACAAGCCCTATTATTCAAACAATGCGGCGGGCGCCGGCGGCGGCGCCAACCGCGGTGAGTGGCATGCCAATTGAGCGTACTATTGAGCCAATGGCGACACCGCCCTGTAAGCCCCTCGCACACACACACACACACACATAAACACACACACACACATACCAAGTAAAAACAAAAGCAGGCGCGATTCAGAAATGAAGCATTGAAAAAATTAGGCAATGTGCGTTTGGAGAGAGCGGCAAAGCAACAGAAATATTTACTTATACATGCATAATACACACACATATATATACATATATAACACTAAAAGCAACAACAACAACAACAAGAAGAAGAGAAAAAGCAAATTACTAGCGAAAGCAAACAAAAACAAAAGAGAGAGTCAAAACGAGAGAAGCAAACGAATTAACTAAAGCGCAAAATGTTAAACAAAAAACGAAGCAACAAAAATGTCAGCTAAGATCGTAAAAAAAATAAAACAAAATCAATTCAACTATGAAAAGTAACAAAAGAAAAAAAAAACAACCTATAAAACATATTTAAACAAAAAAGTATATGAAATGCAAGAACAACAACAACTTGATGTTAAATTCAATTCGAGGGCAGCGCAAAAATGCAAAGCCACGCCCACAAAATACAAAAAACAACAACAACAAAAACGAGCGAAGAAAACTGCAAAAAAAAAGTTAAAAAAAACACACAGAGTATGGAAAAAGTAATTTATAGTTTAGTTGGGTTACACACAAACATAAATATACACACACACACAACAAACACATACACACAGACGCATACACGCAATTACATTGCATACGTACTCACACGCATACATATACATATATAAATATATATAGATATGGATCGAATCTGCAGCTGCGTTAAAGTAATTAAAAATCAAACAACAACAAAAATGCAATTGGCAAACGTCAATTTCCACACACACACACACACACACACACACACACAGCAAAAATAAGCAAAACAGTAACAGAGTAACAAACAATATTATGCTTTTCATTTATTAATATTCACATAAATATATTTTATATTATAATTATCATTTTTTTTAATATGTATTGTGTTAACTTTTAGCGTTTAGTTTATGTTAAACAAAAAAAAAAAAAAAAAAAAGAAACAAACACAACAAAAACGAAAATTAAATAGAATGCTGAGTGTATTTTTTGTCAAACAAATTTACATATATACATTAGACACACATACAAACAATGCATACACACACACACACACACACACGCATACAAGCATAAATATATACTTATTATTTTCATTGTAGCTGCATTTTTGTCGGCAGTGCGTTTGCACTTTTATATTTTTCAAATTTATTATTATTTGTTCAATGGCAACAAGAAAATCAAGTGCAAGTGAGGGAATAATGGAATACGAATAATTATAAATTATAATTATGCTACATTATTTTTATCGATTAATCTATTGTAATCGATATCAATGCCGATCGCTGTATCGGTATAGAGAGAGAGAGAGAAACAGAATTGAGAAACGCAAGCTTTTAAGTTTGTTTAAGTGCAAAGTTAAGTTGAAGAAGTAAACTAAACGAAAAAAAACGACATACAAACAATCTAATCTTATGTATGTAAATCTCTCTGTCTTATATGACAACAAACAATAATCTGCGTTACAAGTCGAGTCCGGCGAATATACTGCGCCCATTCAATACCAGACCCACACACATACACACACAAACACACACACACAACAAAACTTCGACCTCGGCTTCGGCTTTGCAAAGTGTTCACACAAAATGGCGCTAAGGTGTCCATCGCCTTGGATTCGCAGTGCTGCTAATCGGCTGTTATTTATACTGGCACGACACCTATCAATTCTTTTTTTTTAATTTTTTTTTTTTGTTTTTAAATCAAATTGTTTACTTGATTTAAGTAATATTTCCATTGCCAACATGTCTAAGTTGACATTAAATTGGTGAAGAGCAAGAAATGTTTGAGTTCTATGCCAGTATTTTTGCAGTCGCCGGAGATGCTGCTGCCGCTGCTGCAATTATCTATTAGTATTAACCGCCCGTTGCCCCCACCCCTAGCCAGTGCGGCATTGTGGCTGAGAATTGGTAACAGTCAGGGTGTGTGAAGGGTGGGGGGACTGGCAAATTAAACTGCAATCGGACAAGAATATATAGGATCTTTATGTTGTATATGCTCAAAAAACAAAAAAAAAAAAAAACTCGTAACGAAACAAAATGTTAAAGTAACTGTAACTTAACATGGATATAGCATATACATACATACATACATATACATACACACATTATAGAGGCAACATACAAGCAAGAACACTCCAATTTTAAATGACAAGAAATCCCACACATAAAATTAATATTGATTAAAACATATTATTGTGAAAACGTAGTAGAAAAAGGAAAACTAAAACAAATAAATATAATGAAATGGAAAACCGATAAAAAAAAAACTAAAACATACCTAAATACATACTATATGCATACATATATACATACACACACATATATATACATACATATATATATATATATATGTATAGATATATAGGAGTACATTTGTATGTATTTTTCGCACTTCGCTCGGCTGCTGCAGCTACAAATTCAAAATTCAAATCAAATTTAAATGCATACATACGATATATGTTAATGTTTTGCCAGGGCAAACGGTTTAGTTATTAACAAAAGTATAAAAAAAAAAAAAACAAAAACAAAAGTGAAATCCAAATGCAGATGCAGTTGCAAAATGGCCAGCGCTTGCTATTACACAATACATGTAAAAGATATATTTTATAGCTATAGCATAAACATAGAATTGATAAATGATTAATTTATACATATATATTTTAAATTGCATATATGGTTTTTCGTCTCTATATCTACCAAGCAACAAGTTAAATACATGGGCATATAATACACACATACGTACATATATGTAAACCATTTTTACATTTGATTCATTCAAATTAATTTTTAGTAATACTGAAATTTCGAAAAACTGAGCTAAAACAAATGAACACAAAAACAAAAAAAAAACATAGATAATAAAAACAACCCAAAACGGAACATTTAAAGCAAATTCGATAAAATGAAATAAAAACTTTAAATAAATAAAATATTTAAAACAAAATAACAGCAACAACAATTCAACAATTTCTCCTAATGCACAACTTCGCAAAGATGTGGCAACGATTTAGAGCGACAAAAGTGGCCACTACAAATGTGAGCGAGACAGCATGCTCAGTGTTTGTCGCTGTGGGCTCATGGGCCACATAGCGTGCATAATGGGCACGGTTAAAGCCATTAGCTGGCCGAAGGACAGTATTATAAAACAATATTGTTATTGTTGCAATGCATCCGTGTGTGAAGCGACTGTTGCATACACTGCCAACAGTCTGGTCTGTAAGTATTACATAATGAAATTCGGTTTGTTTTCCGTGTGTTAGATATTTAAATTGTTTATTCCTTTAAGATCTTGCACTACACATAAATATACATGGCTTGTGTCCTGACCAGGACGACGAGCGCATCGAATTGGTGGCACCAAGCCGGTGGCAGAGTATGCCATCTACTTCTTCTTTGGCTTCAGGATCTGGTAGGCAATCAGCAGGCCCACAACTGCGTATGTTGCCTTGGCCACCTGCAAAATGTGTTAAAATTGCGATTACACATTCAAGCTAAATCTGCACGATATTGGCTGACAGATGAGCTCAACGCTACTTACATTGGCACGGCCGGCCATGGTTGTGCCATTGAAGTGCTTGGCCAGGCCGGTCAGTTTCTCTTGTTCGCCAGCCATTGCTGCAAACGTAAGGTGAATTGAAATGATATGTAATTAATTAATCGAAGGCAGTTGCAGCAGGCTTAACTCACTTTCAGTTTGTTTTGCGACGGGTTGAAACTGTTTCAATTGCCAAAAAAAAAAGTTCTGCGAATAGGGTTATACAACCGTGCGTGTGTTGCCAGTTCGGTGGCAGGTGTTGTGCATACGTTGCCACCTAACGCAACGAGCTGGCAACTTTGTATGCTACAACACTGCGTGCCATCAACTATCGATAATAGCTAACGTTGGCGCTTAAAAATTAAAAAGTAAACAACATTTTTTTGCTTTGTTAACAGCGCACTGCACTAATTGCATAGCTTTGGAATTAGCTTGCTTGTCAAATGTCAACTGCAGCTTTGGCAAATCTCATTTAATTACAAGGATTAGGCACTTTGAATCCGCACGAGCAACGACACAGATTAATTGCGATTAAAATTATAGAGTGCAGCCTGAGAACGGGCGCAACTGAATAGAAAATTGGACTGTGTAATTAAAAAAGCGTAGTCCTCATGCATTGTCATTGTTAAGCAGCCGTGCATACCTGGCTTTTGGCTCTTCAACTCTACAATGGCAAATAATATGCGCATATTTAATTAAAGCGGAATTCTATGGGCACTTGGCCAATGAAGGTCGTATGTCACCATTGTCATATGCCGCACCCACTTGGTGGACATACATATGTATGTATGTGTGCCTCCGGGCGAATATATAAGGCATTGACAAGCTGCCGCGTGCACGGATTAACTGCAACCATGGATGCGGCTTACTTTCTGCGCGTACAGGTCCTGGCATTTCGTTTGATGGGCTACGATTTGTGGAACAGCAGCAGCTCCCACGATCGTCCACAACTAACGCTGGTGGTTATTGGCCTGATGGGCCTCTTTATGGCACCACTCTTCTTTTCGATTCTGCATAACTTGACCAACGTGAGCATCATGTCCGATGCCATGGGCTCTCTACTGGCCATAATGCTAACTCTGGTCAAATATTCCGTCTTTGTCTACTATCGCAAGCGGTTTGTTCAGCTCATTTATCGCATACGCGATATTCTCGAGCGGGGTAAGTGACGCGCTATTAAATCATTTCGTATCCTGCTGTCTAATAACGACATTTTTTGCAGAGATCAAAGCCTTGCCGGAGACAGCGGCCATTGTGGAGGCGGAGAACCGCAGCGATCAATCCCTGAGCTTGACCTATATGCGCTGTTTCATTGGCGCCTTAATCTTTGCTGGCATTAAGCCGATTGTCATTATGATAACCACCCGACTGCGCACTGGCCTCACCCACCTGGAGTTGCCCCACTCGGGCGTCTATCCGTGGAACGATCAGGCGCCTGTGCCTTATGCGCCTACCTATCTGTGGAACCTGATGGCCAGCTATGGTGCTGTGACCATGTCATTGGCCATGGATACGCTGCTTTTTGCCTTTACGTACAATGTGTGCGCCGTCTTTAAGATTGCCCAGCATCGCATCAGACATCTGTTGCCCAGGAGTCAAGCCCCGCGGCAGGAGTTTCAGGCATTGGTGAAGGTGTTGGAACTACATCAGACGGGTCTGTTGATTGGTACCCAGCTGGGACACAGCCTCCGCCCTTTGGTTTTTATGCAGTTCTTTGTAACGGCGCTGCAGCTGTGCTTTCTTGGCTTTCAGTTGGCCGACCTGTTTCCCTCCCCGGAATGCATCTACTTTGTTTTCTTTGTGGGCTCCCTGCTTATCGCCCTGTTCATCTACTCGCACTGCGGTGAGAATATGAAGCAGGCCAGCGCTGACTTTGCAATTGCTCTTTACGATAGCAACTGGGTGGACTTTGCGCCGCCAACCAAGCGGCTGCTCATTGTCGCCATCATGCGCGCCCAGCGACCCTGCCAGCTGAACGGCTATTTCTTTGAGCCCAACATGGCAACCTTTTCAGCGGTACGTTCCAGACATGCCACCTGCCAATTCCTTTACTCAACTCTCATTTTTTTTTTTCTTCTTCTCTCCTTTACAGGTGGTTCGCTCGGCCATTTCCTATGTTATGATGCTGCGCTCTTTCAGTGCTGCGGAGCAGTCATAATCATGCACCTGGCCAACCGCTCGACATCAACCTATCCTATAAAATGCGCGCTGCTCTTGCTACCCTTACACTTGCACGGCACATTATGATTTGTCCATGAAATGTGATACGCACTGTGTTTACAATTTGATTATTATGTTGAATCATGTAAGTTTACCTTAATATTTCACAATTAGAGTTGGGTATAAGGGGTTTTTTGGGCAAATGTATATGTAACATGCACAAGGAAGCAGCTCCGAACCCATTTCTAGTCTGTCTGCCGGTGTCTCCATCTGTCCGTTCCCCAAAGAAGCTGGAGGCTTAAGATATCTATTCGTAACAAGTGTATTGTTATTGACAGAAACTCTGTTGACATGGAAGAGCCCTGGGCCTTGGTATATACAACTTTTGGATGTCATACTAACTCAACTGCAAATTTCATAAAGACGCAAAAATAAATTTCTCATGCAGCTCGTCGCTGGGTTAAGGCAATCGTCTAGTCGGACACTGTAGCTTATTGTGAAAATTGCTTTATTGCCAATTAGAAGCCAATTGGAAGTTGTACAGCTTTGCGCATATGTTCAGGGCTATTTAGCTGGGCAATAAGCCGGACAAAGTGTTGCATCAAAGTTTGAAAATAATAAACTCTGTTCTGTCGGCTACCTTGTCTAGTTGTTTAGTTTGTTGTCCGTCGAGTTATCTATTTTGTTTCGCTTCTTATAATAACCAAACAAATAAGCTGAATGCATATTGAAAGATTGCCGCCAGTCTATTTCAAAGTAAAGCTCGAATAGCATGGCTTGCTTGCGGTTCCAAGAGTACAGCCAACAGCTGGCATTGCCTCAAGCCCAACCCCAGCCAACTCACGCACCCTACCACAAACACCACACACATGTGTGTGTGTGTGTGTGTGTACATATGCATATATGTTGCAGTTACCAACCATCTTCTTCTTCTGTTGCTGCTTGCAGCAATTGCTCCCTCGAATCGTGATTGATGCGCAGCAGCAGCAGCAGCAGCAGCGGCAGCGGCAAGTGAGCGTGTTGCAGTCGACCGTAATAAAAACTGCGTAAGCAAGAAAGAACCCTCTGGACGGGTAGTCTCGACGCGTTGATACCCTGAGCCGAGCATCGAACAGACTCTGATACTCATACTCCTCCTTTACACACACACACCTTTTCTACCTTTCGCTTCACATGCATTCTTGGCCAACTTCGTTGTTTATAGCTTGATCTTAAGATTTTCAGGGCCCCAATATGGCAAGCCCCTATATGTGTGCGCATACCAAAAACCCAAGGTTCCAATTAGATTTAAGTTCTTAACTTTTGGGGGAAAACGTATCCAAAATGTGAAATATATCTATGCAAACTAAGTGTCTAACAAGCTGCGAGCTTGTTGGTATAAGTATATAAGTACATTTTTTAAATGCGGACATTGCGCAAAACCAATAGACTCGTTTTCACTTAACGAACACGCGCATAATAAGTTTAGCTTGCAATTGGCAAATATAACGTATACGCAACGTTGCGTTCCGTGATTGAACCTATTTGGCTGCTGTCGCAGATTGGGCTTCTGTTGTAGACAAGCTGCATTTGGCATTTATATAAGCATATAATATATGCATATTCATAAATAGTGGCGGTCAAAATAATCCGAACAGCTTTATAAAAATGCTTTTGTTACCCGCAAATCAATTGACAAATTGCACGATTTTCGGTTGCCTTTGTATGGGGTTTTTGTGGTCTGCCCATTCAATGATATTCCAATTTATTGACCCGAACGGAAGACATTTCAAATCCGGTTTTGATACTAAATTGCCGCTAACTAATCGCACAAACTTTGCCAACTTTTTGCTCACTTTTACTTTAAGTTCAGTTCACACTTAAGTATATTATTGTTATAATAATGTATCGATCAGGCGGCTGTTCTTTTATTTTTGTCCACCATTGTATTTTTATTATATATCTGTCAGTGCCTTTCTTTACGCTCGTTGGTCATTGATTAGCTTGCAGATTGGTGCTCCGTTTGGATTTGACAGTTTCCAAGGCTTTTGATTACGTATCATTGACGCAGGTTGTTTGTTGTGCAACACCTTTTGCGTTTTACCTGGCGAATATATCGATAACATTTTTCTGAAGTTTGACCGAATTGTCCTTGGCGTAACATGCGCCTCTGCCTGAACCGCATTTGGGCCAACTGCCTGCTTATGTAAATCTATTTTAGCCTTTTATTAAGTGAATTTGGTATTTCTTTCAGTCATAGAAGACTTTAACCTTAACACTTAACCTTAAGATATAGTGATATAGTGATGCGATGTTGATAAGATTCTGGGGTTCGATATCTTTATAAACAAAAAAGTTTGCCAAACAAGAATCCCGCAACAGAAGGACGAACCTGAACAAAGTCTCAAGACGATAGTCTTTAAGCCGAGAGACTAGTTCGCATAGAACTAGAAGGACGAATAAACTCGGCGGTTGATGCTGATCTGAAATATATATAATTTATGGGCTGAGAATTGTCTTCTTCTATGCGGTGCACATTCCATTTAAATACCCCCTAAGGGCATATAAATTATTTAAATTTATCAAGAATCTATTGAAAGTTCCAAAAGAAAATCAAAAATGTTGAGAGCGAAGGCAAAACCTGAAACATTTGTTCTTGTTTGAATTAATGTTTTTTAGAAATCAAAAACAAACGAATCCATGATAAATTTGCGGATCATTGGACACAATCACATGACAATATTCAGGCGGGATGGCTTTGTTGTTTCTAATTCTTCTCCCCATTGTGCTACATTTCTCTATATGGCTTGTTCAAGAAATTGTCAGCATCTGAATGGAAAAGCCAGAGAGTTTTGCTTTATTCATTTGAGGCAGAGTGTGGCGTGTGGCGTGAGGCATGTGGCATGTGGCATGCAACAAGGCTCTCGCTAAAACTTTGCCCACTGCAGACTCAATTAGTGCACCATAAATAAACTATATAAACCACCTGGCCAGGCAGGCTGACTTTTGTTCATCTTGTTGTTGCTGCTGCTGCTTCTGCTGCTGCTGCAGCAAGCTGAAATATGAGCCATTGTTTTAGCCATCGCCATTGTAGTTGCTCTAGCCGTGGCTGTTGTTGTTGTTGTTGTTGTTGCGGCGGGATGCCTCAAAGTGACTGTTAAACAATTAAAGAGCATCCAGCGTTGCAGGCATCGAGCAAAAAATGCAAATGTGAATTTCATTCACATAGCACTTTGTCCTGAAATGCCTTTTCGTATGCAACGCCACGTAACGTAACAGCTCGCATGTGTAGCGCTATTAACGTAAAAGTTTGTCAGATAAAACTTTTGCTTAAAATGATATTTCGTTGATTTACATAAAAGTTGCCGCTGTACGCAAATAACTTTTTGTTTTTTCGATTCGGTTCTGCATTTTTGTGTTCTTAAAAAGTTAAAATTGATTAAAATATAATTGAATTAATCTAAATGTCACTCTGCCAAATAACGTAATTACGTAAACACTCGCAGCGTTGTACAACACTTTACAACACTGTGATCGTAACAGGCGTAACACAAAGTATATGTTTACATAGAGTTATCTATCTGAATCCCATCTGTCCGTATTGACTATATTTCGCATCTTATAAGAGCTAGAATATCTCAGAATATATTTTACTATGCACATTTGTCATATCTATACCCTGTTAATTAAACTAAGAATTGGCAATAAAATAGTTTATCATTGTCCGTTGTTCTGAAAATATTGAAAGTCATATAAAAGATGCGAGCTACATGAATCAATTGATATTTCGAAACTTTTTATACCCTGAACCCATTAAAATGCAAAATCCAAATGTATGTAACAGCCAGAAGGAAGTATCTCCGACCCCATAAAGTATATATATTCTTGATCAGCATCAATAGCCGAGTCGATCTAGCCATGTCCGTCTGTCTGTCCGTCCGTCCGTCTGTCCGTATGTATGAACGCAAGGATCTTAGAACCTATAAGAGCTAGAGACAATAGAGAAATTTTGGATGTAGGTGCTCCTAGTTCCCGCGCAGATCGAGTTTGTTTCCGATAATCGATAACCTACTCCGTTTCCAAGCAATCGTTAAAAATCGATATTGATAACCTGTTTTTTGGGAAATTTTGGTAAATAATAAGAGCTAGAGTCACCAAACTTGATAGATAGCTTCTAAAATAGAATATATATGTGCATTTGATGTTGGAAGAAGAGGGTTCAAGGTATTCCCTAGTCGGGAGCTCCCGACTAGAACCTCTTGTTCATTTTGAACCAATCCATTTTTGGGCTATAGTGCCCTTTTAAAGCAAATAGAACTAATAAAAAATATAGATAATAAGATTATTAAACATTAGTTGGAGCAGCCAAAGTTAGGACAATAAAAACAAGTGCAACTATCATTATATAGCTTCTTCTTAAAGCCTTGCCCGCTTCGCTGAAAGAAAATATTTACGTATTGCCTTTCTATGCGATTCTCATGACCACTATCTTCGACGCACCTCAATCTAGATATTTACATACAGCTAAACAATTTATCATAACAAAATATCTGCATGGCGACAGTTGAAAGTCATCTGAATCGATTACAACTTGTTTATAATATGGAAAATCTTGTCTTATGGTTGCCTAGCGAGTCGCATTGCTCCCCGCCGGGCTTTTGACAAAACTTTTTAATTAAATGCATGACACGCGGCATCTGAAAACGAGATTTCAGTAACTTAGTCTGTGCTCTGTTTCATTAAGTAGCGGAAAATACTTAAGAGCTGCAGTTGAACATAAACGCAAATTTAAGCTGATTAATAAAAGAAGTAAAGAGCGAGAGAGAGAGAGAGAGAGGGAGAGAGAGAGAGAGAGAGATGGAGAGAGAGTGAGCCACAAAGAGTTAAAGCCGAAATGGAGTTGTTTGAGAATATTATCCAAGTGTTGGCATCATATTAAAACAACAGAAAGGAGGAAAAGAGAGCAAACAAAAAGTACTATTAATATTTATAAGCTGAGCCAGAGCAAAAAGCCATATAACTGCGACATGCTGAAGACTGAATACCCTAGAAAACCCTTAAATACCCTAGCATATATTTACCATATGCTTATCTACTTGGTTAAAATTGCTCAAAAAGCATACAAGATTTGTACAAACAAACTTTATTTTCGACTCATTCCTCTGACAGT